GTACTTTTTGTCATTGATTTTTATTTCCCTGAGTCTTTAATATTGGAAATAATTGGTTTCATAATTCTCAAATCATAGTTAAAACTACCTGTTCCTACTCAACAAAATACCTCACTGACTATGCTGGTAGAAGATAAAGGTCCCTTCTCATTCTTCCTGTCAAAAATGCATCTTAATATCACCTCTGTTTTTTCTATCCATCTTGTTCTCAGAGGCTACAGCCTTAAGTATGTCACAGGGAAAGACAGAAATGAGAAAATATGCAGGCAGTATCATCAGAAGATTGGGCAGAGATTGGAACATAAGTATCCCTCAAAGGTAGAGAGTTTATATTTGCAGGATCCTTGCAAATTGGTATCTTTAAATAAATAATTGAACTGGTAGAACCTGGCAGATAGTGGGTACTGAATATTGCATAAGTATTGTGAACATTGTCCAAGAATGACTGAGTGAGAACAAAAGAATGAGAGGTATAATAAAAGGTTGATTCATTTTTCTAAATTCCAAAAGATTTAATTCCCAGGAAATAGGAGAATCTGACATGATTAATTCATATTTCTGCCAAAGCAAGAGTGAAATAATTTCCTAAGAGAAGAAACAAACTACCCCATAGCTTTGGATTACTGTTATTCAATGATATGTACTTATTAGTTTGTTTTTAAACGATTTTTTACTAATCACCTGTCAACATCACAGTTTCAGCTTTGCAATCCTCCCAAAGAAACTTACTTACATTTTGAGATTTTTGATACTCTGATGGCAGAAGTAACATACGGGTAATTATAATTTTTGCCTATGTCTATTATAATTCTCTTCTGCCTATATGTCCATCCTTCCTCACTTTCAGTAAATATTGGAAAAATACATCAAATCTTTCCTGACGCATTTTCCTAGTCACTCTGATGATCCTGATGCCTGTATTAGCTGTAGACAGTGATGACTCAGCAAATTCTCTTTTACATGTAAGAATCTAACAAGTAAATACATGGTTGCTATTACAAGCAACGTTAAATATTAATAAATGTTCTTTTCTTGTTGAAGAGAAATAAAGCTATCTTTGAGCAAGATGGTTTAGGTCTCTCCTTACATCTGTGTTTGGTATTTATGCAGGTTAGAGTTTGATTTGATTTGGTTTTTCTGATACAGAAAGTCTTCCTCATGCCAGATCACCTGAGATAACCACCACTAACACATGTATTTCTATACGCATGTAGACCCATTTTATGCCTGCTTTTAAGTGTTGGTGTTCCTCACGGTGTCATCAAAATTAAAGACATCATATGTCTTTCCAAAGAGCCCTGGTTGTGCAGTGGTTAAGTACTTGGCTGCTAACCAAAAGGTGGGCAGCTCAAGTCTACCTAATAGCTCCATGGGAAAAAGACCTGGCAATCTGCTTCCATAAAGAGTCCATCTAGAAAACCCTACAGAGCATTTCCTGCTCTGTCACATGAGGTTGCTGTGAGTTGAAAATCAATTCAATGCGACCTAACAATAACATATCCCTTCCTGTTGCCTTTTCCATGTTCATATAATTGATTAGCTAAAGCAAATGGAAGAAATGACAAGATAGAAGAGCTGAACAAAAGATTTCAAAGAGCAGCTTGAGAAGACAGAGTCATTCATTATAATGAAGTATGCAAAGGCCTGGAGTTAGAAAACCAAAAGAAAAGAACATGCTTTTCATTTCTCAAGCTGAAAGAACTTAAAGAAAAAATTCAAGCCTCAGGTTGCAGTATTGAAAGATTCTGTGGGCAAAATATTGAATGATGCAGGAAACATCAAAAGAAGATGGAAGGAATACACAGAGCTACTGTACCAAAAAGAATTGGTTGATGCTCATCAATTTCAGGAGGTGGCATATGATCAAGAACCAATGGTATTAAAGGAAGAAGACCAAGCTGTGCTGAAGGAATTGACGGAATACCCGCTGAGATGTTTCAACAAATGGATGCCGCACTGGAGGTACTCACTCAACTGTACCAAGAGATTTGGAAGACAGCTACCTAGCCAACTGACTGGAAGAGATCCATATTTGGACCCATTCCAAAGAAAAATGATCCTGCGGAATGTGGAAAATATCAAATAATATCATTAATAACGCATGCAAATAAAATCTTGCTGAAGATAATTCAAAACTGGTTTCAGCAGTATATTGACAGAGAACTTCCAGAAATGGAAGCTGGATTCAGAAGAGGATGTGGAACAAGGTATATCATTAATGGCTCATGTCAGATGGATCTTGGCTGAAAGCTAAGAATATCAGAAAGATGTTTCCTTGTGTTTTATTGACTATGCAAAAGCATTTGATTGAGTGAATCATAACAAATTATGGATAACATTGAGAAGAATGGGAATTCCAGAACACTTAATTGTGCTCATGAAGAATCTGTACATAGACTAGGAGACTGTCATTTAGACAGAACAAGGGGATACTGCATGGTTTAAAATCAGGAAGGGATGTGTCAGGGTTGTATCCTTTCACCATACTTACTCAATCTGTATGCTGAGTAAATAATCCAAGAGGCTGGACAATATGAAGAAGAATGTGGCATCAGGATGGGAGGAAGAACCATTTAACAACCTACTATATGCAGGTGACACAACTTGGCTAGCTGTAAGTGAGGATGACTTGAAGCACTTACTGATAAAGATTAAAAGACTACAGTCTGTAGTATGGATTACATCTCAACATAAAGAAAACAAAAGTCCTCACAACTGGACCAGTAAGCAGCATCACAATAAATGGAGAAAAGATTGAAGTTGTCAAAGATTTTGTATTACTTGGTTCCACAGTCAACAGCAATGAAAGCAGCAGTCAAGACATCAGGTAACATACTGCACTGGGCAAATCTGCTGCAAAAGACCTCTTTAAAATACAGAAGAGCAAAGTTGTCTCTTTGAAGACTAAGGTGTGGTAACCCAAGACATGGTATTTTCGATAGCCTCATATGCCTGTGAGAGCTAGACAATGAATAAGAAAGACCAAAGAAGAATTGATGCTTTTCAGTTGTGGTGTTGGGAAAGAATACTGAAAGTACCATGGGCTGCCAAAAGAACTAACAGATCTGCCCTAGAAGAAGTGCATCTGGAATGCTCCTTGAAAGCGAGAATGGCCAGACTTCATCTGACCTACTTTAGTCATGTTCTCAGAAGAGACCATTCCGTGGAGAAGGATATCATGCATTAAAAAGATGAAGGCCCTCAATGACATGGGTTGACACAGTGGCTACAATGATAGGCTCAGATACAGTAAGGACTATGAGGCTGGCTCAGGACCAGGCAGTGTTTTGTTCTATCTTACATAGGGTCACTTTGAGTTGGAGCCAACTAGACAGCACCAAACAATAGCAACAACATAACTGCATATGCCAAAGGGGCTGGGAGGCCACATCTTCTGACCTCCTCTAACCCAACAAGAGGAAGTCAGAATCACCATCAGTAACCCAAAGCCTATTCCTGCGAGTCCAGACACGCTGCTTCTCTCCAGCCCTTTCACCAACTGACCCTGCAGCACCCGCCACCTCTTTGGTGGGTTAGATAATTCGCTGCAGTGGCCACACAGAACTCAAAGATTATGGGGTCTATTAGGGAAGCACCAGAAAACAATTCAAGTTCAGAAGTGCAGTCAGTCTCTCACAGCTGGCCATCTCACTCAGCAGCCAGCAGTCTCAGTAGCACATCACTCTCTCAGCAGTGTGTGTCTCTTGCATCTCTCTCTCAGCAGCATCTGTCTCTCACATCTCTCCAGAGTGTGTCTTTCTCTGCTAGCAGTCAGACTCCTTTTGCCTTTAGGAGGGCTCCTTTTTAGCCTGTCATAGTGGCCAAACTAACCAATCCCAACATCAGAGTTCTACACACTTGAGAGAGGGAGAACTTCCTAGAAGATTGCTTCATGCCACTCCCAACAGAAATACCCCAGGTGGGGCAAGGTTGTGGTCACTGCTTGGTCACAGCCAGCTACCCAGAGGGACCGAGTAGTTGAACCTGCACGCTTGGGACCATAGTCGCAGGGGACATCAAGCGCAATTGGCATAACATACTATACAAAACATTGCTCCACCTCCTACTTTGGCGAGTAGCAACTGGGATCTTAAAAGCTAGCAAGCTGCCATCTAGATGCAA